CCATGGCGAAAACCTCATTTGGTAACCGAAAAGATGAACGAGTTGGTTTACATAATCCAATTGTAACCCAGCAGCAAATGTAAAGTTGTCCACATAAGGTGATTGAGTCCATACATGGGTCGTGATGTCCCCTCTTGGAATTTTGTTCGGGAACAACCTCAGGGAAACGGTTGGGGTTGTAAATCATGCCCTAAAGAAAGTAACGCCGTCGCTGGTAGCCATAATTCAAATGTGACGTGACCAAGATCACCCCTAACTGAACATGCACTAGCGGCCGTTCCAGACATGGCATTGCTTCAAGAATAATGCTTTCGATATTTCGTGGCTGTTCTATATTCGCGCCGCATTGACAGAATTCTGGACAATTTTCTACGGCCTTCGCTATCGGGACAGTTACCTATCGCACTGTTACTTCCACTCGCCTATCGAGACAGTAGTCAAGTGGAAGTGACAGGGCGGTACGCGCTTTGTTCAAGTGTTATAAATACCCTGACTTATTATTTGATGAAAATCAATAACAATATCCATGCTGATAATTTTCACAGTAATTTTTTCAAACGCATGTTGCTAGCTTCACCAATGAGTACCAGACTCTCTTGTAACTTCCTTTCCTCACTTATCTTTGTATTTTTTCATATACAATCAATGAAGTTGATTTATTATTACCATGATCATAATGTCCAGTGTGTAGCTCTGTGAATATTTTATGTAGTTTCCTGCTTTATTGAAGCAGTCATAATGTTTTCTTCTCAAACAGCTCTTTCAAAAAGTTGTTTTCGTGTGTGTTCGAATATGAATGTGTGTGTTCTGAGACTAACTTTTCACTCTGGTTTCGCACCAGAGATTTTGGTACCTCCATATATTCCCCACATTCAGCACCTGAGTGTCCTGGCATCCGTTACGGAGTCCATCTATCACCGATCGCTGGTTTTCTCAGTTTGTCACAACTTTCCCAGACTAGCTGATTAGCTCCAAGCTGTCCCACGGGCAGCCTAGATGCCTGTGGAGATAATGATTTCCCCATTTTGTTGTGTACTGGTCAAGCGGGTAACTTATAAGAAGATTTTTTCCCGTACAGCAAATTTCAGCTCCCGTCCCATGTTCTGTTTTAGACCCGTTTGTATACGAGGTGTTTCTGCCGTTCATGTTTATGGGATAACTGTCCATTCGATGTCATGTTGTCCGGGAACATTTGAAATGTTCGTTCCTCCACGAATTTTTTATTTACCTAATAGAAGTTGACAATAAAGAGAGATTAGATTACCTTATAGGATTTTATTTTTTCATAATGGTTTCTATTTTGGAAAAATTAGCTCTTGATGAAATACCATATTCCCACTGATATCCTTCACCCCATTATTGTCTTCGATGTTCTCCCTCTGGTGTCTTTAAAATAAACTTTTTTTGAAACTTCGCAAAACAGGTAATTGTTTCAATTATGATAACTGAGCTGGTTTGAGTCATCAAATTAATTTTATGGAGAAAATCATCATAATCAGACTATAATAATAACATCATTCCTTGAAGACCCTAGTGTTATAATTTCATTTTTTGTTATAATTTCGTTTTCAAAGTCGATGAATGTAATTAACTTCTATTCAAAAGATCTGATAATTTGTTTCAGTATAGTATCGCCTTGGGACACTTAAGAATTACTTATGTTATCCGAAACAAGCACTTTTTCATTCAACAGAACTGCAATACTCTTCTAAACACGCGTTTGATTAACCAAGTTGGTCTCTTTTGTGGCTAAAAAAAAACTTCTTACATTTCTGGTGATTGGGAAAAATGCACATTTTGATTATATTGTACGCCAGTGGTTCCAGTTTCACTTCTCACTACTAACGTACTAACAAAAATACTATTGAATATTTTCAATATCAATAATTTTTTATGGTTTCTCAGGACATCCATCGAATATAACTTCAATTTCTCTCTCTCTCTCCCCCTCTTTCTCTTTCTGTTGTTTCCTCAACTATAACCAACTTATATTTTCAGGTGGTAAAGGATATGGATGATCAAATCTCATCAGAAAACTCAACCCAAGTGATGGATAATAACTATTCCCTGGAAGGAATTTTCTTGAGTTTTCCGAAAGGTATTGGGGTTCTTCTATTTTTTCTTGTTGTAGCCATGGTCAGTATATTTATGTGTTTTAAATTGAAGAAGGACACTGGGGACATATGGCCTTTGGAAACTGCGCGATCTAGAGAAGCAGATAGTGACCCTGGTCAAGACTTGGCGTGACTGGAGAACAGCAGTGAGGAACATCGTGAATGTCTTTTGATGAATCACCCCAGAGCCAGTTTTATCTTCAAAATTCGTGTTTATATCCTGTTTAGGAAATCACACAATATTTTTGAAATTCAGATATATGTCTATGCTCATGATGATTTCATAGTCAATTAGATTGTTTTTTTAACCAGATAAGTATTTTCTTTCATATAATATGACCATTTTTCCTCATTTCTAATAACCGATGTTACTAAAACCAACATTATTGCCTATGTACACAATTTCCATTGTGTACATAGGCCACGAATTCAATAATAACGTGTCCAAACGAATTCAATAACAACAAATCTTTCAGCAAAAGGAATAGTTTCATAAAACTATTCAATCATGTTTATCATGCATTTCAAAAGACTAATCCGTCATCTCAGCTTACCCTTCACTGTCAACCAAACTGAAAGTTCATACCTTATTGTATCTCAATCGGTTAGAGATAACTGCTTCAAAATTCATCATCAAGATTTGACCATAGCTAACATACAATCTTACATACATTCATACACATATTGCTAGTCAAATGAAAACCTGTAAAATCAAAATAACCTTTCATTATTGATTTGAGAGTTTTTTCTAAACAAATTTCAGTAACCTTCACTCCATTCGAACAAAATTTTGGAAATCTTTAAAGTCCTTCTCAAAGGAAAATCGTAAAACTGTCACATGAAGAATTGGAATGATGCTTCAATGAGCTACTTGAGAAATATAATTTCAGAATTGAATTGACAAGGGTCTAAGAGGTTAAAAGTTTCGTCAATGTGTGCTGGTTATTGTTTAGTCTTCTAGAAATAAACTGACCAATTCTCTATAAAACTGAATTTCTCCTTTGCTTTCTTGCTGGGCCTTGAAAAATCGGTTCCCTGTTATGATATCAACTCATTTCATCATTAGATACTGATCATATTGGCTGGCAGACAAATTGTATGTAAGAAAAATATTCTGCTTGAAATTTGATGATATATTGAAAACGACTTTGTTCTTCCAGATTTTCGAGCAAATTGATTGCAAACTATGAATATAGTCAAAATCTCTAAATCTTTTGATATTGAAATTTTAAATATTATAGTTGTGTCCAATCATCATATACTCTTTACTACATGAGAAGACGAAACATTTGGAAATATTCATCCAGTAATTTAGGATGGCAGTGTTCTATGTAAGTGCAATTCGTTACCATTCATTTAAAGTAGAACTCATGTGAATGATATCTGATTTTTATTCCACAACGAATGTTTGAAATACAAACTGAATAGAGAAAAGTATCTTCTGTATAATTCAGTGTTCATATAGAAGTATTTGTTTCGAAAAGAATTTTTTCTTTCGTATAATTCAATGTTTATATGAAAGTAGCTGTTTCACGAGGACTTTCTTTCAGTTCGTGTCTGAAAGTAACTTCTTTGCATGATCTACACATTCATGTATAGAGTTACTTCCTTCCTTTCCTTGAAAGACTTCCTCATCCTTTTTTTTGTATCAAGATGGAGTAGTAGAAAGCCAAAAACGTTCTTTCCCAAAGAGTTATTATAATATATAATTTACAAAGAATTCATATTGGTCAATACTTTTTGATTGGCGTCTCAGGACTGAACAAATCCTTGCTGTTTTCCCATAAGTAAGATGAAGCTTGCTACATAGAATTAAATTCAGTCTTAGAATCAATGAGCCTAGGTATCTGATCTGAACCAATTATGATAATAGGAGAGCTCAAGCGGGGATTTTGGGATTTACTGAAGCAAGGCAGATTATTATACAGGGGGATACCTTGTACCCGGTTAAGTACCAACACCAAATATGAGCCCCATATATAAGGCCGCCCGTGAAGGATGATGGATCAGATTAGTAAAAAAAATTGATCATCAGAAATTCTTGAGCGTGTCAAATTAAGGTGGGGTGAGTTGATTACATGCTAAAAAATGTATATTCCAGTAATTTGATAATTTGAGAGTGACGTAAAGAAACGGGATGGCAGCAAAGTTGTAAAAAAATAACGGATCAGATTAGTAAAAAAAATTGATCATCAGAAATTCTTGAGCGTGTCAAATTGAGGTAGGGTGAGTTAATTACATGCTAAAAAGTGTATATTCCAGTAATCTGATAATTTGAGAGTGACGTAAAGAAACGGGATGGCAGCAAAGTTGTAAAAAAATAACGTAATTTCGACATCCTCGAGCGTAGCCAATTTTCCTTTTATTCTGAAGGAAATAATTCAAGGATAACGAAAAATATAGAATCTGACGATTTCCGCAAGCAGAAATAACAAAAATTCGTCGAAAAAGTTTGATGCGTGCAGCTGTGTGATACCTATATTTCCCTCTCCGAGTTTCTATTCCTCTTTCACTTTTTCTCTTTCTGTTACTCTCTCACTCCGTCCCCACTCTGAATTCTGTTGTCATGACGGCATTATAGCTGATCACAGCATTTTTTTTAATTATTTTCTTGAAAATACAAGTATTCTGCTTAAAAAACATACACCTATTCATTTGCATGCCATTTCCTAAGCTTCACAAATTATTGAGTTCAACGATTCAAAAAAAAATTGAAAAAATATTTTTTTTGAATAACGCGCGCCTGCTGCCTTATTTGTAACCATCCTTTGCGCGCCTGCTGCCGTGGGCATGGTAGCTGATTTTCAGGCTTGAATTTTTTCTTAGAGGATATCATTGACAGCCCATTCATAACCCAAACTTTAAAGGAAATTATTCGAAACAGGGTAAAATTTTGGATAATTTATTTCTTGAATAAAAGTGAATGTACTTGTTTTCTCTTACGATAATACCATAATTTGTTTAAAAAAATTTAAACCTAACTATTTAAATCTTTTCACTTATTGGGTGGAAGCTGCCACCTGTTTTCTAATTATTGATAATCACTTTCAGTTTGAGAGGTCCAACTTCTTGAAGTATATCGCCTTTGATATCAACAAAATCAAACCCAGGAAAGTATTCCAGTAGAAAATCGCGCAGTTTCAGTGAAAACATTTCGGTTATGAACGTGACTAATTCTTTCTTCTTGTTATCAAAGTTGGTGAAATGCTGTAACAAATCTAAGTTTTATTGAAAATATTTTGACATTCATGACATCATAGTATTTGTACAAATTGCAGAAACAGATATCTGCTGTGACGTGAAATAATTAAGAAAATATACACAGGGACATATTAGAACAAAAACTATAATAAATAAAAATCATCTTTTGAAAACTTGCTTTTGCAAAACGGAAGGGTCACTTCGACTTACAGGAGAACGGACCTACATAAACATCCCCTTATATGATAAGTATAATTTGGAACCTCGGTCTCGTGGAGCCTGTGTTTTTCAAAGCGGTCGGAGGCTTGGCTCCCTTGCAACGTATGGCATTAATTATTTTAAGTTGATGGTTTATTCGTCATTCGTTCATGGGCGATGCGTTTGAGTTTTGTTGATGCAGGATACAGTGTGGTACGTACTACGTAGTGAGTGATAGTGTTTTTTTCGGGCACATTATGTATTTATATTAAAAATTAATGGTGAAGTAATGGTACCCAAGCATTTATAGAAGGAAATAATCATAATTATTTGTCAATATCTTTTAATTTATTGCGATGAATAGCCTCAAATTTTATGGGGAGGCTAAGCCTCCCTTGCCTCCTCTAACGAGCCGCTGTTAGCAACATCTCTAGATGAAAAGTTCCTAGACCGTAAAGTTGAGTCATCAATGTATTTCTATCAGTCGGAAAATATTCAATTAGAGAAAACTATAGTACGAAATACCACGTGATTGAATTATGAAACCGTATTTCATTATTTATCTCTGATCAACAGAAAATGAATCGTTTGAAATGTGAATAATCCTATTTTTCATCAAACAACCCTATTATAAAAGGAAAAAGCATGAATATACTTGAAGTAACACTATATGATTCACCTAGTTGGTACACAACAGGTTTCGATTCGTATAAGAGTCATAAAAATATCAAGATTAAGTCAGATAATGTATAGAGATATGGAAGTGGTATACCCTTTCATAAAAATTTGGGAACAGTGTGCATCGAATATACATGGTGTTTACTGAACATGCGGCGGAAATTTGAGGGACTATTCTTTGGACTATTTTAGGGATATTTTGTGCTTTGATGATTTCTGATAGGGCGCCTTGTTTCGAAGATACGGAGCGAAAAATAATTTCGACAATAACAATTTATTACGAAAAATTATATGCAATGTTTCTTAATTTATAAGAACTGTTGAACATTGCTTTCCCACCTAGGATGCAATAATCCAATCTTCTCCTCATCGACTCTCGAACTCTTTCAGAAACACCAGGATCGTTTCTGATTGCGTTACCCTAGCAATTATCCGCCCTCTAGTACGAACTAATGACTTCAGACGGCCCCATAGGAAATAATCCAGAGGGTTTAATTCCGGTGATCGAGCAGGCCATGAGTGAGGTCCACCTCGACCAATCCAGTGATCTCCGTATGTTACTGTAAAAAACTGGTGCACCATCGTGCATAAACCACATTGTACTTTTAGTAAACAATGGTACATCCCCCAGAAACTGAGGTAACGTTTGTTCCAAAATGTTGAGGTATACCTCGCCGGTGTCTTTCTGGCAAAAATATCGGTCCATTCAGGAAGTCACCTACAATTCCCATCCAAACGTTTAACGAGAACTGATATTGAAAGTGATCTTCAAGCATTTCAAGTGGATTCTCTCCAGCTCAAACATGGTTATTGTGGAAATTCCTTGTGGCATTTCTTCAGAAACTGGCTTCATCGATAAAAAGAATAAGCGTCAGTAGTTGAGGAATTGAAGCAATTTGCGCAAAAGTCATCGACAATGAAATACGTGAAAAAAAATCTACAGAAAAAAGTGCCTGAAATTATCGTATGTGGTATGGGTACAACAAATATTCTCTAAGAATGTTCCAAATCTTCCCGTTATATACATTTAAAGTATTTGCAATGTTTTGAGTAGAGGTTCCTGGATCTTCTTGTATCATGGCCAGCACAGTCTCTCCTATTTCTACCATTCTTACTGTCATTGACCTTCCTACTCCTCCATTTCACTTCAATGCTCCTGTTTCACGAAGTCGTTGATGTATACTTCGGTAGGTTTTTCTATTAGGCACATTACGATTAGGAAATGGTTTTCTGTTCAACCGCCCAGCTTCCGATCAATACAGTAGATTGTTAAGATGAGTGGTGTGACAATTGCTACCTAGGATCTTACAGAATATTTTTTATTTTCCAGTACATTATATACATCATTATTATTTTCATTTGATACTCATATTGAGGTAGCTGTGGAACAATATGTAATCCGCAATGATACAAAATTTATTGAATTGTATTGTTATCAAAACTAATCGAGTGTACCAAATATCACATCAATCTGTCAAGAGGAAGTGGTGGAACAAACAAATACGATAAGCTGAATGAAGCCGTTTTAAAACATTCCAAACAGCAATATAATAACTGCCAATGAAGGCTAGAAAATAAAGAAATCACTATGCATCTAGTTAACTGCGTAGATACGTAACACAATTTTAAAAATTGATTCCGAAGGGCTGCATATGAACCACTGATGAGATGAGAAAAAAAACCACCTGGCTCAACAAAGAAGATCAACCTGATCCACCTCCAAAGTTTACTAGGTTCAGAGATTCCTATGCTATTTCTCTGCTATGGCTCATTGCCATGAGTGTAAGAGACTTGTAAGCTCTGTGGAAGAACACTACAGCATTACAGCATCAAAAGGCTTCTGGTACCAGTTCCAAATGTGTGAGAGTAAGTTAGTTCTGGTTCTACGAAATTCAGGTTCTAGGATGTCAGAATCATGCGCAGTTGATAAAGAGCGTTCTGGTTTATTGGGAATAATTTCGGATTGTTCTGGTTTCTGTTCTGGTTTCGACTGCGATATGATCCTAAACTGTCTTGAACCGTCCCGGAACGCTCTTGCTCTCAAGGCTGAACTGTTGAGAACTGTTTCCGTTTCCGTTTAAATAATTGATGAGTGAGGTTAAGTACCATTTGAACTGATTACAAAGATACGCTATATAACAAAATGGACACGATCAACAGTATTTTCTCGTCTTCATCTCTCCATCTATACGATAGGTGGCACAGTGGTCTCCTCAATATGCGGTCTGGTTTAACTGAGTGTCCGAAACTATTTCGGACTGTGACTGTCTTGCGCAGTTTCTAAACAGTTTCGGATGTTAGAACAGGAACAAACCTAGTATGTAGAGAGGCGAAAGGAATTCATAAACAGAGATACAATTCCTATATAAAGAAAAAGGAAACCAACATTAATAGAATTTGGCTACGTATCCTATTCGCACACAAATTTTGTCCAACCATTGAAAACGAAGCCACGCCCACTACCAATGGAATGAAACTGAAGAGACAGATTTCAATAACGTTGTATCTTCAAAAACTACACCTCACGATTTGATCTCCCCAAACTTTATTTGAAAAATATATCACAACATGTTTCGCTAGCACAGTAACATTTCCACTCGAAAAATTCAATTCGTGAAAGATATCAAATAGAGGCAAAAAGAAGTTCGAGGATTCACGAAACAGTTCCTATATATTACCAGTAACCTGAAAAAGATGGTTGTGAAAAAATATGTGATAAGAAGGTGCCAAAGTTATCCATCATCTGAGGTAGGAGTAATTTTGTGTGAAACTACATAAGGGATGAAGAAGTCCCTACTTGATGACCATGAAAATCAATTATTTCGTTTATGGCATTCAATCAACTCCAAAGAATATCTATTCGAAACAATTAGTTGCGAGAAGGACATATTCTGTTCAGTGTGAGTCGCGACAGTTTCAGCAAGCGACAGTGAATGAACGAAATTGGTGAGTAGTTCAAAAATGATTCTGTGTTTGGCATCTCATTTGTGTAATTGACAGAAGTCTTGAAAGATGGATTGTCGATAGAATAATTACGAGAGAATGAAATTTGTTGGGGAAACACAAAAAGGAAGTTGCAACGATGGGGTCTGTCTGGAGGAGTTGAAGCCAGGCAGAGTCACTTTGAGAAAGAGACAGAAACAGTTCCTTAGCCAACTGTCAAAAAGTATTGAAAAGCTTCTGGAATAAGAATTGAAGGATGATAAAAAGAATTACTCTGTTCACTCGTTCCATGAGGTATCTGAAATAGAATTATTCAAGGAGATATTGCTTATAGTATTTGTTCATTTAAATAATCTAAATAGAGTATCTGAATGGTATTCAGTATTCATTTCGTTCTCACCTCTGCAAACCCATTGTAATAATTGATGAGATATCTCAAATCACGTACTATCTCATTAACATAAATATAGTCGTTATTCTTGAGTTTATCTGTAACTGAGTCAATATCTATCAAAGGTGCGAAGAAATTCTGAAATGAAAAAAAATGAGTGTGAATAAATAAATTCTAATTGAATACAAAACCTTATCGGATGCATCCAGTCCCTCCAGGATGTCATATTTCTTCAAATCCTTGAGCAATGTTTCCAGTATACTGGTCCCAGCATGAGTAATACCCTCGAAACCTGCTTCATAAATTCCTATTATGCTTTTTGGAGTCTTTCGATAACTCCTTGATACAAATTCTGTAAACCAATATTCAAAGTAAAAGTATGCAATCATACTGAAAAAAATCCTAAAATGGAATGAAAACGAAATTGAAACAAATCATGAATTCAAGAAAGGAAATCATATATTTCATTGTCATTTATCAAATTAAATTTATTATAACGATGTGTATCTGCTGTAAATAAGGTTCATTTCATAACTACTACTACGATTTCAAATATTCATTCAATGTCAGTTTATTTTTTGTAAATTGTTAAATTGAACGTATTGTGTCCGTGATTGTGTCAAATCACATATTTATAAAAAAATCAAACTCGAAATTTCTCCTGCTAAGTGGATCGGTCTAACATAGAATCAATGAAATGACATCCGTTAGATTTTTATAGTGGGATTATGGAGACTATAATTTATCAAAAGATAAAAAAAATTGAAAATGTTGCTCTTACAAGACGATGGAATGAAATATTCTAACGAGTTAGTAATAGCTTATTTATGTATTCTATCAAACTTTCAAATTTTATATGGGAATCACTAGAGAGGCAAATACCTACTTTTTTGAGCGAACAAATGAATATCTCGAGAACAGATAATTTCAAGTATAGTGTGTATTACACATAAACACACATCAGAATTGTGACAGGTTATGAAGAATATGAAAATATACAGGGTGTTATATTTGAAAAGAGAAAGTTTGTCCAAATTCTTGTATAACCGGAATTCGTGGAAAAACGCCATTAGTATCATTTCATGGAGCATGAAGGAAAAGTTTCTTATTAGTCAGTCCACCCAACCTACTATTCAACCTATATTCGCGACTGGCTTGAACATTTGAAGTTCATTCCTTTAGACATTATGAAAAACGTTTATTTGCTAATTTCATTAATTGATTAAGGTATGAATCCTTTCATTTCCCAAAATACGGCTGAGCTATGGTTATTACGCTGTACCCTGTATAGAGAATACAATCAAGTCTAGATATATCCAATATGTCAGCACTTTGAACTGTTCATCAGTATATTCCAAAATTCAATATCTCATATCAGTATGAGGAATGGAAACAAATTCCTTATTCAAACCAATCAAAGAACAAGAACAAAATTATAAGGTGAACTACAAAGAGCCAACAGTTAACTTGTATAAACCAAAAAAACTATTATATTTTTCATCCTTACATAAATTCAAATTATGTACCTCCATTCATTTGGCCTAAAATAAGCTCAAACATTCAAATTTGACTTTCAAAATTAATGGTGACTGACACAACCATTTGACACGATATTTAGGCAATCCAAAATTATTGAAAATGAAAACAAATATTGGGCAGAATTCGATTTATCATAAAAGTATCAAATTTTGCAATGAGCTACCGAATACTTTGAAAAAATTTAATGAACAAAAATTCCTGAATAATTTGGAAAAATATTTATTGTTTGTATAGATATATCATCCCATGAGTACATTTATGTATGTATATATGTGTATATATGTATGCATATTTATTGTTTTAGAAGGAGTGATAGGTTGAAAAAGTTGGTTAAAAATAATAAAGACAAAACATCCAAATTCAAGAAATCAGGACTGAATGAATTGAAATGTGGGACGTGTCCTAATATATATATTGGTCAAACTGGCAGAACTTTTTGGAATCGAATCCAAGAACATCATATGAGCTATGTAAACAAGAAAACAACTTCGTTCGTTTAGAAGAAAATTATATCTTCAACGAAGAGTTCAAAATTTCGTACAAAGAATAACAAAGGTTTGAAACTGAATCATTTAGAAGCAATGAAAATTAATATACTCAAAAATTCAAACATTCTAATGAATGACCTACTAGATTTGAATAGATCATCATTATTGAACTCGTTTCCTCAAAAATCCGAGGAATTATTATTGATGTAGAAGTGAGATAATATGCTTCAGGTAATCTTAATTGAAGAGGTGTCTCAGGTATTTGAGAATTGTAGAGGTTTAGGTGATTTGATGGAGGTAGTCCCAATTATAGTTACCTTTGGTATATAAATATTAGCGTAAAAAGCAACTTGTAGTATTCAAATCACTGTTGAAGAAGCTATCGTGTTAGCGAAGCATGTCGTCATCTATTTTTCAAATAAAGTTTGTGGAGATTAAATAGTGAGGTGTAGTTAATGAAATTATGTGCTCGAAGTTGTCATATCAACATCGAGTAAAACCTCTAATGAAGATGATGGAGAGTAAATAATGATAATGATTTAGGGTGAAAGTATGTCTTTCTCCACTGAACACCATCCTTACCATTTTTCGATTCAGATTTTGTACGCTGTAAAACGGTTATAGGCGGGTTTTGCTTCTGAATTTCCGACTCCAGCTGTGGTATATTTTGATACAGTGTGGAAGGGTCTACAAAAAATGTCCTCATATCTGGTGTGTTAGTGGATACAGGGGATGGTTCACCAAAATCGGAAAAGTTACTACTGAGTAGCCATTCGTGGACATTCAGATGAGAGGATAAATTCAGCTGAAAAAATACTGTTTCAAATATAAAAAAAATAAAAATAAATTGAATCAGTCCAAAATAGAGCTCAATGACAATCTGACAGCTGGTGCTATTTTTCTTTTTCCTCGTGCATTGGATGAAAGATGAAATATTGTTAGAATGGATGAATAGTAAGTAAATGAGTCAAATTTTAGTATTTTGTGGAAAGATGAAATAGTTTTAATACTTGTTACAAAATATTCGCAGTTTGAAATCCAGCAATTGAATTCCAGAAACACTATACAATTAATTCAATACTAGTAGATAAGGCATTATTGTGAACTAAATTTAAGACACTGGTACATAGAATAGGTATCTATGGTATAGTGTATGGTAAATAAGGATAATTAATAATAACGATGAGATAAGAACCTTTGGTGTGAATGTTGAACAACTTTTTTCGATATCAATTGCCCTAACACCAAACTGATATTGATGAAATTGATCAATTTTCTTCTCCTGAGGATGCTAACTTTGTTGGTGAAACGCGCGTCGAGTGCAAAAATATAACACAAGTTATTCCAATATTTAGAGAAAAATGATTATCATTTTCAAGGAAGAGTTACAAAAAGTAGTGAGAGTTACAAAAAGTAGTGATACTACAATATTGTACATTTTTTACGGAGAATAATTGTTATCATTGATGCATTAATCAATCATTAATAATGCATTTGATATTGGGTTTTCTCATCGATAATCTCATTAAACAGCAGATGACTCTGATCCCACTTACACTATAATTGTTATCTTTCGTTCCACAGTGTCAACATAGACATACAAACACGCAGTTTTCAAACTATATTACATGACAGCTGTCAGTGTTAATTGTTTTGTTGTCTCTCTCTCTGTGGTCTGCAACTACATGGCTTTCACCAGTATTATATAATTTGAACAATTACCGGTAATCTATGATTTCAAAACAAATCACCATTCTGATCATTCATATATTAAGAGCCACCGGTAGAAAGCTGTCGGGCATCGTCAGTACCGGACAGGCGGTCCTCAATTGAAGACAAAATGTTAATAACCAATAAAAGTACTCAATAGAAATAACTGCGTAAACGCAAGCGGGACATAAGTGGAACCACCTATTGGTGTGACACCCAACTCAATTTGCCAAGTTTTTATGTCAGTGTTGGTGGTTTGACCAATCAACCGAAAACTGCGAGAGCAGAAATTTGGAAAGTTAACCAGGTTAGCTGGTCTTTTAATTAAAACCACAAATATGCGATTAGCTCCTGTTGCTGACACACCGTGCATATGTGATGTTTTTCATTTTTGGTAACCAGTTGTTGTCCATCTTTGCAATTGGCTGCACCGCGCTGATGAGGCCAAAATCCAGAAACACGTGTCCGCGGTTTGCCCCTATTTTTTTTTCATCAATACAACCTTTCTGAATGCAAAAAGTGTGCACTTTCTGTGTTTCGCAATTCAAAGAGAAACTTCAGTGAAAATGTATGAAATACGAAAGCTTCGATCGGGGTCATGGTCAGCAAAAAAATGCGTGGATGAGTCCTGATGATTATTGATTACCAGTACCTCTGTTTTGAAGTGGAAAATGAAAAAAAAAATATGAAATAATACCTCAAGATCCGATTCCGAAGTAACGTCTTGCAGTAGTTTTGGTTCTCCCGATTTTTTTGTACTACCCATATTGACGTTAGCCCAATATTTATCATTCGTAGTTTGTGACTTATTGATATTCTGTGCCGTGTCCAAGAATTCAATGGCTCTTGGACTCGTAGTAGCTCCACCTATAAATCCGAAACCTATTTCTAGTATAATATTAGAAGTTACTTGAAATTTTATTTTTGTAGCATAAATGGGAAGTACTTTCAGAAGTTTTTCGAGAAACACCGCTATATAAATCATTCAATACTCCTCTAATTCTCTCAACGAAAAATGAAAATGAAACATTTGAATGGTTCGAATTCCTTATTAATAACTATTAAATTCCAAGTGTTTCTTCTTAAGTCAAATTGGAAAGCAGTATTTTTGAGAGTTATTGATGATTTATGAACGATAGTCTGATAGATCATCTGAGTCTACAAATCATTAGTATTCAGGTTAGAAAACATTGAAAGATCACAAACCAAACTGAAGACTGGTAACACTTTGGGTAGACATATAAGGAACAACAGATCAAACGCTGACGAGAACAATAAATAAGATGTACAGAGTGGGCCATTTTGGATTCTTTCAAAGGAAAACTCTTGTATTCAAACAAGATAGATACAACTGACGGCTGTGGGTAAAATTTATGACAAATTCAATGTTGAAAACCGCATGTTCTTCGAAAATAGGCATTTTTAAAAAGTTGCTGAAATTTTTTTCCTGTCGAAAATTTTTCATTTCAATGGAACCATTTCTGAAGCACTTCCAAGTTGTGTCGCAATCTTGAAAAAATGTTGTTTAAACTTGTCTTTGTCTACTTGATCAAAGTGTGAATATCAATCCTACATGAAAAAACCTAAAAACTATTTAACATCAACTGTGCAAAATTTTTAGAAAGGTAATTTCAAGCTTTATCGAAATATGTAGGAATATACAGGGTGTCTTATTGAAAAAAAAATAATTTTCTATCAATAACTTTTGATCTCATTTTAAAGAATACGTTTTTTACTCCATTGCATTCTACGTACATAAAAAAGTGTTTCGGAAACGTTTTCATAAAAACAAAAAAATTTTGCGAGGAAAAAAATTACAGCAACTTTTCGAAATGCGTGTTTTCTAAAAACATGCTGTGATTCAGAAACGATGATATTTATCGATATGCGGTTTTCACTATTGAGTTGATTGTAAAATTTGACTTTCAGACATAGCCATCAGTTTTCGTTCATCTAGTTTGACAACAGGAGTGTCCCTTTAAGTGTCCAATTTGGTCCACTCTGTACAAGTGAATCGTGCCCAAACGTTCATAGAGAAAAATCGTCTTGATATCTCAAAACGAGAATATGAAAAAAAGACTTTTGAACTATAGGAAATCAATTAAACTTATACATGCCACCTTTAAGAGAACAAACAATGATTTTGCCACGAACTTCGATATACAGCGGGAATACCTGGAAATGAATAGGCGAAAACAATCAAATTCCTAACTGATTGATCTGCAAAAAAATCTTCACTTAGCCTTAATGAAGTTGTTTCCATGAATATCTTTTAGAAAAATCGCCATTGAAATTTATCTGCTTACCTAGAATTGATGATTAAGAACTAATTGAGTTTAATTTTTACAGAATACTTGTAAAACGCATTGTAATTAGTTACCAGTAACTAAAGAATCTATTGTGTAGTGTAATGGGTTTTTAATGAAATTCAGTGTGAAAAAAATTGTTTAATTATTATCCTAGGTAGAATCAGATACCGCTATGATATGTTACCTATTTATTTATTGATTTTCCGAAGAATTTTGAAACAGTTATTCACCGTTACATTAGACATTTGAAAATATGTTAATCCGGAGAGGTGCATTAGGTGCATTATGACATGTTCAAGGTTGCAGACCTACGACTTTGTAGGTACGTGTGGCAGATACTCAACGAAATAACAACAACTAACCCAGCCAATGCCGAGTTGAAGTAAAACGATCAGTCACCTGTGCAACGTCTTTGACTTGGAAGATTCGTCATCCCCGTGAAATTTCTATATGTTTTGTTATCATTTTTCACCACTTGGCTCTGACTCTCCAAATTTTTGCAGATATATACAATACATCATTCAAAAAATAGTTTTTCGTCATCATTGTATCTAACTCTAGGAGACCTTTCGATTGAATTTTGATGAATCCTTTCCAATTGCATTATTTCAGTGTATAAATAAAACATTCACAAAATCACTATAAAAATGTGTTGAACTTCGAGTGAAAATATTACAGTGAATTGATTTAAATTTGAAAAAGCACGTGAAACATGTAGCAAAAATAACGAGACATACAAGTAGTTTTCAATTCTATAGGTTTCTCGGTTAACGAAAAAATGAAGGAAATGGAATGTATCACTCATTATGTAGTTTGCAAAATTACAGAAGAGAAAACAACTTCTTGTCATAAAATTCAGGCAATGATTTTTTTCAAACTATTCCGTTCTCAAGCTTCAATAGACAATATCTCATCCCACTTCATATCTAAATTCTCCAGTCTATGTTCCACTAAGTAATTATTGCCAGTAATTGGTAACAAAATGTAAGTATATGATAAAACAAAATTCAAATTCGCTTTGAAAAATATGTTTCAGTCACATCTGAGTGACGTTTTTATTGATAGTAGGTAATTTATAAATAGCTGTTATGTTGTATAACATACATGAATAATCATACATGAATAATGGACTGATAATTAAAAAAAATAATATAATTATAGATACTCACTCTTCTTTCTTCTTCTGAATCAAACCCCTCCTCTTTGCTCTTACAGAAATCACCAGAATATGTCTGATTGGCCTGATCTACAGTTTCGGTAACGGGGGCACTCGGCAAATGAATTATTCCTCTCACATTTTTTACAGAATTGTTCATTTGTATAGTTGGTAAAGTGGAGGTGGTTACAGTATCAGTAGTCAGATTTTTTTTCACAACACTGTCACCTGAAGGAGTCTTCAGAATGTTGACCTAGAATAGCTGGTTCATAAAAATGTACGAAATTGAAGAGAATTTCCATATGATATAATAGGCAATTTCAGTTTTTTCGAATAATATGTTGTCAATTACACTAGAAATAATATAAACTTTTATAGCTGCCTGCAATCAATTTCTCATGAAAACTAACTTCGATCAGGGTTTATGGTTGTTTGGTCACTTTCTACCGCCTACGTCCAAGCGTCGACGCTTGAGAGTAGGCAGACTGAGACCCTTGCAGAGACCAGCGACGAGACTGGAGAGTAGGTAAATTGAGGCCCCAGAGTCAAGTCACAACACCCTTGCAGCTACCTGAGAAGTAGGCAGATTGAGACCTCAGTGATATCTTCTTGAAAATGTCTTTGAAGTCATTATCATGTCATTGGAGAAACCTTATTGCATTCTTTTCATTATCGAAATATCGAGATAAGATTAAAACTAAACTCTTGTTCTTCTCATGTGAATAAAAACAAATTTTAACGGTTTCATTTGACAAAGAAATCGATTATGATGTGACATTTTTTCATCAGTCCAAAAGTTTCAAATTTGATGGCTTTATATGGGGAAGAAATCAAGTGATTCTGGGTTTCTCAATATATAGGAAATTACTACTTGCCATATCATACGTTTTTTGAAGAAAGAAGACGTAAACGTGGCTTACAGAATGAATAATAATCTAAGTAAATTTATTAATAACAATAAAGACAAAACTTCGTTGTTGGATAGATCAGGAGTATATAAGCTGACTTGTGGCTCTTGCACAAAACTGTATATTGGCCAAACTGGAAGAACATTTTCCCAAAGAATTAAAGAGCATAGAAGCAGTTTAATAAATAGAAAGACCAATTCCACATTTGCAAACCACCTATTAGCAGAAGGATATGAGTTCAATCAGGAATACGATGTGTTACATTTAGAAGAGAAGAGTTTGAAACTCAATCTTCTAGAATGTTTAGAAATCAATAGATGCAGGAATTCGGGTAATTTACTGAATGATCAATCAGAATTGAATAACTCTCCGTTACTGAATATTTTTTCAAATGTGGAAAATGGAACATAAGCTCAGGTAATTAAATTCATTACAAACTTAGGTAAAAAGTCAGGTACTTGAAATTCAGGTACCTCAAATTGTAGACTAAGGTATATATAGCATTTAATGTGTAGAATTAGTTATTACGACACGCCCGAGGAAGCCATTGTATGACGAAACACGTGTTGCGTTTTTGTAAAACTATTTAGTGAAAATCACACAATAAAGTGTTTTTAGAATACGTTATACAAAGAATCATTTGAAAATGGATTTTTTCCGCCTACTCGTACAAAATATTCCTTTCAGACCGTTGTTCTAGAAAATTTATATGTTCTTGTGAAATACATTGACTGACAAAACCATTCAGTATTTCAATAACGAATTTTTTAAGAAACATTCAATGCTCTTTACAGAAAAATATAGCAATATTATTAACATCAGATAATTCAAGAGTTTACCATAATAAGAAAATTTGTTGAGATATTTTTCAATTCCAATTTGCTGAAATTTCTCAAAATATTCGACGAATCATTAAATGGCCTGAAAGTACCCTCAAAAAGTTCATTTTGATTTTTCTGTCATCTGTTGATGTATCAGAAAACTAATTTGTTCAGTCAACTGGAAACGAAATGATCATTCTCTTTTTTGAAATAACAGATTTCAAATGAATAAAGTACAGTATTGATAAAATATAATGAAATCAAGAACTTTATAAAGAAGAAAAAATATGTTATGAACCCTTCATTACGGGTTGATTGCGAATTGTAAACTCAATTTCAGAACACGATTATTTGAAAAGATAATATTATTGAAATAATTGTTTTTTTTTTAATTACATTCTGCTTTTTACTTCTTCATCAGTATATGTGAAGAATGAAAATCTTTGAAAAAAGGGAAAAATTACATATATCAAAATCTAATCTTCAAAATATATTATTCTGTAGATCATACCAAGAAGTTTCTTTCAGGTACGAATTTGAGTAGAAAACTTTTGAAATACATTCGACTTTAAACATTGAAGACAAAATTATTGTCCTATTCAGTTTCTAGACCAAACATTTGTTTGCAATTGAATCAGACATCAAATGTAGTAACGCTAAATAACATAATATATAACCTCTGGTAGAAGTCCATTACATCTAAAAGTGGAGTGGAGTAGATTTGCGAAGAATAAAACACAATAATTGTGGAAACGACTTTGAGTTTCATCCTTCGCAAAAAAACATAATATATGAAAAAAATACATAATAATATATCCCGAAACATGTAGTCATCCGTTATTACGTATATTCATATTCAATACCAGTTTTGGATCGATACCATTCAATACAAACTTTCATATTTCTCATAATATCTAATTGACCATTTCATATCATATAGATACATTTATTATATCATTCACACTTACACTAGACGATTCTTCAAACTGGAAGAATTGGATTCACTTACTTGTGGTGTAACAAGGTTGGTATCGAGGTTATAGAATACTCTTGTAAGCTGGGAAGCTAGTTCCATGGTCTCCTTCTCCCATCTTACGTAACAAGCTCGAAATTCTGGGGTCAACTCTTTCTCAATTTTTCCTAAACTAGAACCATCTCTATTCTCCCAATATCCTTTTAAAATATGCCAGCAGTTAGTCAGCCTGACGAATGCATATATGAAATCTTTGGTTGCCCATGGTATACCTGAGGAATGATTCATTGTGTGTTTGAATTGCTAGATCAACATGTGACTAAATATATAGTTTCCATTTCTGATAATGAAAGATCGGTCACTGTTGATGATACGTCGAATTATTCAAAAAAATAAAACACTTCAGTGTTATAAAAAAATCTGAAAGATTATGGAAGATCCATTCCGCAGGTAGAAACATATTGAGATGGCATATATCAGTTTTCGAATCTATTTGCCAGGTGAAAATCTACAGAGAAACAAGGAGGAACTGACAAAATTCTAAAATAATTTCTATGTTTCATATTTCTGTGATTTTAATGTTTCATAATCTGAAAAACAAATGAAACTGAATCATTTGATACTCTCTAACAAGAAATGAATGTTCAAAAAATATTGATTCTCTCACAAAAAAGTCTCACAAATCATCAGAAATGAAATGAGCAGATAATTATTTCAGAAAGAAGAACGAAAAATCTAACCCCAAAAACTAATACTCTTCCAACTGTCAGATAATGAAACAAATATTGAAATGACAGTAAATGTTTAATATGAATGTAAAATTTCATATGATCAAATTCGCATAACTCGAGACTCACTTTTTCTCTCTCTCACCCGTTCGACAACTAGCAACTCTCTGCAACTAGCAACTCTCTGACAATTAATGAATTAAATGTCTTTAACAAATCTATTTCCAACAATATTTCACTAATCCCTAACTAATTTATCAATTACAACACTTAGAAACTAACGCTTGATTTATTTCTACTATTTGAATTTCTTGTTTAGCCGCTCGATTCACTTTCTGAACTGCCCTCTTGGGTCGTGAAGACGGGCTCATATCGGCAAAGTATCTTTTTAGAATTCTCTAGTCGGTTTGGCACTAGAACTTTACCGGCGATTTTCGACTGCATTCTTTATTGACCCCCCTTTCCATTTGAAATTCTGAGGGTAACATCCACCCCTCCTAGGGGGTTGAACCCCGAGGGTTGAAAATATTCATTCAGAGTGTCCCCCTTGCAAATCAATTTGGCCTGTCTGACCATTTTTTCATATTATGTACTGGAAGGGAGATATTGAGGGTGGGAAGTTTTCAAATTGACACACTGTATATTCTGCACAACTATTTTGTCTCCAACCCGAATAGTATATTCTGTACTAGTCCGTACAAATCTCACGTTGGATGACCACGGCATTATTCTGGACCGAACTGAGATTGTTCATGGAGAAAATGAGTAGAAAAAATGTTGAACGGTTCAATTGAAAAAAAAGTTATAATGATGTAGATAACACACTGAAAACTAAAAAATAATTCGGATTGTCCTAGGCTGTTATGACACCACTCTCCTCAGCAAACTACGGTATTGAGAATCAGATGAAAAATTTACAACATCGTTGGGCGTATAGTAATCGGAGTAAATATGTGAATACTGCGCCAAACGATTTCATTATTTTTTAATCTGATCAATACCGTAAATTGCTGAAGAGAGTGGTGTGATGACTATCTAGGACCTTCCAAATTATTTTTCAGTTTTTATTACATTATCTGCATCATTATTATTACTTTTTTTAATAAAATCGTTCAACATTTTTTTTATTTATTTCATTTTCGAGTTTTAGTTTCTAATTTTGTTTTTCAATCCATCTCATTCTGTTTAGTTTATTCAGTGCCTCAGTACAACAAGGTAATATATAATCCGCCATTTTGTAACTGCAGCCATTTCGAATTTGCAGCTTTTTCAAAAATTACTACTGTTTTACTAGTCAAGCTCTGTCAGTTGATATCCATATTGGGATAATTATAAAATAAAAAACCATTTCGTAGCGGCGGCCATCTTGGATTCGCCATTATACAAAATTTATCAATCTGTATTGTCATCGGAACTGAATGTCTGTACCAAATATCAGATCAATATGTCAACAATAAGGGGGCCAAACTTTCAACAAACAAGCAGGGCAAGCTACATAACATTCAACAACACTGTTTATGTACTATTTTTGCATTTATCGCAGTTAAGATCTCCGCTACATTGCCTCACGTAATTGATACGTCCTCACAACGTACTACGTTTAGTAATTTTTCTGAACTGTCGAAACAGTTTTTTAGTTATCTTCTCTGGCATTCCCTTTTAATTTTCCCCGGATATTTTTCAAAGCATATTATTCCACCACTTTATTTTTCTCAACTAACCTCCTGACTTGGTTTCATTGAGCCAGAGCTGATTAGAGGTTTATATTTTGACGTGTTGATGATTTTTTCAAGCACGGTCAGCAGCGAAATTCCTTTCCGCCGGAATTATCATTCTTCACAGCATTCATTTTGATGTCACTGTCAGATTCAACAGTGTCCCAGTCGCAGTTAAGCTGTCTGTAGAAAATAGAAATAATGATAATTTTTCATGGAATGAGACTCCACGAGATGGAGTGGAATTAACCATATTGCTTGAGTTTTGCCTGCAGCAGCTCATGGGAGACATAGTCAAACGTCTTAGGTAAGTCACAGAGTGTGAAACCGTGTAACTCACCAGACTCAGGGCCCTCAAGTGTCCCTTCCATGACATCTCTTAAGGTAGCCTTCACATTTCATTCTTCTGCTCTTTCTCCTCAGCTTCGGTTCGATCCTACCATAATGCTGAGTCTTGTTCTTTTCCACTATCAGTGCTGTCAGGTGTTTCTAATTTCTAATTGTAGACTGATATACAGGTTCCCAATCTGTATTGCCCTACTCTGGACAATTAGTTTTGTCTCCAACTCGAATAGTACCTTCCTTCGATTCTCTTATCATCCTCTTTCTTTTTTAATCTGTTTTGTAATCAAGCATTCATCTCCATTTCTAAATAGTGTTGGTGGCTCAGATACTAGCCATATATGGGACTAGCTACGCACTTTCAATTATCCTTCACACGTTGACTTGACATTCCGGGTCAAGCAGAGATACAATACCACTCAACAGAGACCAATCGGTCTGAGTATCTTAAAAGAGTTGAACTTGAAGCTAAAAAGACCCATGGTGACGTGTAACCAAATGCAAGATATGATTCATGATATTCATGCCACCAAGTTATCTTAATGCAAACCAAGAATTGCCCTGACCTTTGAAGCAAGGTGAGACCAAGGCTCTGATAACCGATACTAACTTCATTTCTCAAATGCCACATAGTAAATATCTGCCTCTATCATTTTTTTCAAGGGTCTTGCATCCTAATGGATATTATATTATCTGATAATGTGTTAGTGTTTTTCATTATCTAAATATTTCGTAAATTCACTCTCGGTATGGAATATGACTAATTGAAACTCACCTTGGGAATGAATATTTGAAATAGTTGTGCAAGGCTTGAGAATTTCGGATCTTGTTCGGATGCACAAATTCTGAATGTTTCGAAAGCACGGTCTATTTCTGTTTCTGTATGCTATTTGTTCAGCCGTCAAACAGCTACGTTCAAGAAATTTAACAAAATTCTCCGGGGATGCATTGTCAGCATTGTCCTGAAACAACTCATTGTAGAATAGGCAATCGAAGTTGAGAAAACATGTGAAAATCAAGTTATGAATGACATCAATAAAAAACTTCATTTGATTTCATATGCACATAGTTGATCAGATATAATTCAAGATTTTCATCGGAAACTTTTATACTTCAACTACTAAATTATTCATCTCATTTGAAAATTATAATGTATCTGAATAGAAAATAAGTGGAGAGGACTTGAACATACTTTTTGATGAAATCAGACCAATCAATAGAAAAATACAATACATAGTTTGTAGAAGTGACTGGAATGAGATTCTTTTAAAAAATACATTCNCAGAAAAATGTTACTATTCAGTTGCTGACTATCTCAATAAACGAATGCATGAAATCGTTTTGAATTGTTGAATATTTTAAGTAGGTGTATGTATTATGTATTTTTACATATTTTTATACACTTTTATTGGTGTAATGCTATGACAACTTTCAATGCAATTTTTAGGATTGTCAATTAAGAAAGAATAAAAGAGAAACAAAAGATCTTGGAGGAATAAGTCCAGTTATCAGCCGAAGACGATTGTGGATACTAACAATCGGAACGTCGTGACGTAACTTGATTTGGAATGTATTAATTTTTAATTTTCATTTCTTGTTATTAATATTTTTTAATTTTCAGCTTGTATTGATATTTAAATTCTTTTATTTTTTGGTTGTTGCTTGCATATTATTTCTTTGTAATTTCAGTTTATTGTTTAATGAAATTGTTATTTTCGGTTAATCTCCTTGTTTTTTTTTCAGGTTTATCAAATCAATTTATATTATATTAGACAACGGAAGTCCGAACTGATGAAATACACCACGAAACATTGTCAATCACCTTCAAATAAACAATATAATTGATATTTCAGGTATTCATTTGGATTTTATTTATTCTTTCATTGATTTAGAATCATAATAGAATTCGAATTGATGAAATTTTCATTTCATTCTCCTTATATCTCATTCCAACCTTAAATTTACAATACAATATTACTTTTTTTTTCTGTTCTGATTCTACACCTCCATAAATAAATAGTACCTACTAAGGCCAGGTGAGTATAATTTGTTTCATAATTTTCAAATATGAACATAATTTATTAACTATGAGGATGATGAACCTAACATTATCCAAAGATGCAAGAACTGAATATCTATTGATTTTCAGCATATCATGAATTCCTGGTGAGCCAACACGATTGTTGAAGTTTGTTGCAACTCATGAATGAATCCGCATATAATTGTAATCATGAGATCGATAAAAGCACTACCAAGCTATATTCTTACCGTCAACAATAACTCACTAGCAGGTGGAGTAATTTGACAATAATCATAGTTTGTTGTCTCAACGATTCGTTCTATGTCGCTATTTTCTTCTTGCGAGTCTCCTTTTTCTCTTCGTTCTCTTGAAACCCCTCCAAAACCCATATCAGGAGGGGCAGTTGAGCCGGAACCATAAACTGGGGATGAAGCGGCAACATGGGTCATTGGTACTGAATATTGGTTTCCTAAGCCAGTAGATTTGAAGTAATATATGAAATACATTTGAATCTATGTATTAATACGAGTATAAGAGTTTTTAGCACATATAACCCAATTGAAGGGTGTGAAATATTCAAGTTTAAACAGTATGACACAAAGAAGTCCTGACAGTACTAGCACTTTATGCTGACAGCAATGTGTCGAAAAATTATTTGTGACAATTTTTGTACAAGAGGGATTCTTCGACATATTCACATCAACATGAAGGAGCATTCAAATATTCTACTGTTGACACGTGATTTCCAGAAAGGAGTGAATTGTAATAATCAAATTGCTGTCCAAAATTGCTGTTACAAGGTTGATATTATGTACACCATTCATTCCAAAAACTACGAAAACAAGCAATTCACCACCAAAAATGATTTTGGTGAATCACATTTAATTTTGCTTGATTTTTGAAGAAGAAAGACTTTGACGTGTCTTACAAAAGGAATACAAATTTAGGCAAATTGATTAGTAACAATGAATACAAAAGTTCAGTGTTATACACATCAGAAGTACATGAGTTGACTTCTCAAAGAAGAATACAAGAGCTCAAAAGTAGTTTCTCGAATATGTAGACAAATTCCAAATTTGCATATCATGTTTTGACAACGTATTACATTTGGAAGAGGAAGATTTGAATCTCAATCTTTTCGAATGCTTGGAAATCAATAGGTTCAGGAGTTCTAAAAATTTGCTAAGTGACAAAAATTCAACTAAATACTTTCCTTCGTTGAATCTTTTTTTCTTATGTGGTAATTGATAATTAGTTTATGAGTGGATTCAGGAAATTCCCATTCATTATTTGTTTATTTGAAAGGGATCATGATTTTTTTTTCGAATTCCCGATTGATTCATAGTTAAAAATCAGGTGAAATTATCAATCATCAAATATGTAGGAGATATCATGATTCAATTGTTGAATTATGTAATGCACTAATTGGGTAGATTTCAGATACCTGCAAGATACTGTAAAGTTAAATAATTGTGCGGCTTTGTGTACTGTCCAGTGAAAACCTCACGATAAAGTGTAAGGTTAGGTTAGGTGAGGTCCAAAGTGAGTGATTCTATTCGACCCTCCACCGCAACCCGACCAAATAAACCCAGCTTCTTAACGAAGTGGTGAGTGATCTTTCAGGTCAGAGTACGGCTCTGCTGAACTGTAAAAACCTGATTTGGTCCGCAACGGAGCAGGCACAAAGTATGTGCTCTGCTGTTTCATCATTTTCCAAACAGACACACACTGTCATCCGACAGTCCGAGTCCCTGCATATGATGATTCAAATGACAGTAAACTGTAAGAAGGCCTGTTAGACATCGTAGTTCATCCCTACTGTAGACCAACAACTGTTTGGTATCGAATAGTGAATAAACGCTTTGGAGTGAGCCAATACTGGAAGATTCTGCCAGAAGTCCATAAATCTTCTTGCCATCCAAGTGTTCAATGTTTGCTTGGCAAAGCAGTGTCAATGACAGGTTCTGGTCCGATGAAGCTGCTTACAGCACCCTCCGTTGCAAGGAAGTCAGCAGCATCTTTGCCTTCCAGGCCAGTATGGCCAGGAATACAGACTAGAGATAATCTGTTAAGTCTTCCTATCAAGGAGAGTCGTGTTTGGCAATTTGCTACCAATTTTGACGTTGCTCGGCAGGAGCCACAATAAAATGTTACCCAAATACTGTAATCATCATGCAACTACCGATGTAAAATCGTTGAATGAGCACCTCAAGAAAACAGTTTTCACATGAATATGGGCCACAATTCCCCTACATAAAATATATATCATGAGCAACTCACCCATATTGAACTGCGTGTACTGATAATGCTGAAAATATGGTCTGGGTACTGGTGGCGGCGGATATGTTACCAAAGATGGAACAGGAGTCCGATATCCCACTGCAGGGTAATAAGTTGGATAGACGTTGCCTTGGCAATTGCAGACGTGGTGCATATGAAGATGGACGTTTTGTTGTTGGTTAGTATTATTTTCAGATCGGTTTTGATCCATATGCTGTTTCTGTGGTTTCACTTGGTAGATATTGGGATCTAGAAATGAAGAAAATTATATTGCAGAGATATAAGTTTGAAAAACATGTTCGATACGATTTCAATTTCATTATCCCATTGCCGGTTGATTATGTAAGCTGCAAGTATTACACAAGTGAAAAGGTCCAAATAAATTTGAAATATCGAAGGGAAATATGTCAACAGACATATGAGGACAATTTTGTAAGTAGGTCCAGTAGATATACGACGGAAAAACAACTGACCCAGCTGATGCTGCGCAGAAAGCTAGAGTTGAACCATCAAACACCTGTGAAACGTCTTTCGTTTAAAACAATCCCTGCAAGCGACTTCATCTTTATGAAAATCTAGAAGTGAAGTTCATCAACAATTATGATCCGGTTATTACCTTATTATCTGAGTGCACCTTTCAATCACAATTGATATTTCTAAATAGATGAGTTGATCAAACAGTTGTCAATCCTTGTTGCGTCAGGATTATCTGCATAAGTCGTATATTCAATATATCAACACATTCAGTGTGTTGAAGAATTCCCTCTTCAATCACCTTTCTGTTTGAGCTTCCACTTCTTTGATAATAATATCACTTCTATAAATCGATTGAAAGAAATGGGTAGAGCTTCATTTACAAATCACACAAAAAATAGGATCTTTCAAGGTTACTCAAACTGATTTCATGAGTATTTTAGACATACAGTCACCGCAGGAAAAGCTATGGGAAAGAGTTTTTTCTGTTTGGAAGTAACGATGGATATGGTGCTGCTGAATTTGATTGACATTTTTTGGATTTTTTGTGAAGGACCTAATATTGTACACTGTTTTTGTGGGTTTATAACCTTCCAGCTGTGTCAATAGAGAATCTGCGGAAGTGTAGTAAAGGGCAAACTTAAAAGTTCATCCCAAAAAGTTGTTGAGTATTGGAAAGTCCAATTAGTCAGTTACTTGTCGTATTCCTAAATTTTGCCTAAAAATTGAAAAAATCAATTGATAAAAATTTAATATTGATACTCAGCTTTCTTGAGTGGTTGATGTTCCGAAAAACAATCCTTTTCCGTTTTCGAAAATTGTATCCACTATAAAAACTGTAATGCTTCTGATTTATTTCGACACGCTTGTGTCAAAAGAAATTTTGAAGAAAGTTAAGTGCCAATATTCAATTTCTATCAATTGTTTTATTTTAATTCTTAGGTGAAATTTTTGAAAGGTACTGACTAATTGGACTTTCCAGTAGATTATATTACACAGTAACTTTTTGAAGCAAACTTTTCAGTTTGCCCTTCAGCAGATATTCTATTGATTCAGCTTTTATTTCTTCAGATTCTGGAGTGTTATAAACAGATGTAACCGAAATACAGAATAATATCATGAGAGAACTATGAAAATTCACCAATTCTGAAAATTCTCATAACCACCCTTCTGAATGGTTTTTCAATTCAATTTCCATTATTTTCTTCACAATTCAGTTTCGATTTCAGTTTCGATTCTGTTTCATTTGGTATTTCCCACTATTTTTCTTCTTTTCATAAAAAAATATAATAACATTCTTGTTTGTCAAATATGTTTTCGACAATGTGGTTTCGACTCTCAGAATTCCTATATAATATTACTTTCGATTCAATTCAATAAAATGTATTGCCATTTAAATTGAAGCAAAGAAAATGAATAGTATGATTATGACACAAAAAATTCAACATGTCAAAAAATATCGTTAATTTTTTGAAAATTCATAAAAAATACAACAAAAATGTCTGTTTTTTTGTATGAAATTTTCATATGATTCATATGTATGTACAATGACACAATTTTCTTTTGAAAACTATGGATGAAGTGATATTTGACACTATACTTGTAAAAAGAAATATTCTGTATATCTCATGGAAGCAGGGTTTGCGCTAAACTGAAATGCAGTTTGATTTGATATAAATCAAATTTTGTCTTATTGAAATTTTTCACTGTTGAACACATCATTCACAGCACCGAAATGTAAAACATCATTATTTTCCTAACAATAATGAGTAAAGTCAATTTACCCAATTAAATTCGATTTACGTATCTCCTTGAAAAGTCAACGGTACTCACTTATTGTTGCTTATCTTCTATTAGAACCATAAAATATTAAAACTAAAAGCTTCAAACGATAACATCAATTTTGTCACTCACAGACAACAATCTGTCAAAGTTTTTGATGACATTTACAAAATATATCGAACTCACTAGATTGTGATTGATATTGGCAGGTACATTTTGATGATAGAAACGCTACCTTGACAGGTTTTAGGAAAATATTGGCAGGACCTAAAGTAATGGCAACGGATGGATATGGAGAAATGCTTAAATATAGATAACTCCCCCACTCTAGGCCACAATTTTGTTTTCTACTTCGTTCTCAATACTGGAATATTTTGAAAAATTATTTATAACAGTAGATACCAAGATTGCCAGATCTACATTATTCTTACATGACTTTCACCTACGAAATGAATGATCAAAAGTTTCAAACTTAGTTAGCTTTCTTCAAATGCTCGATGTTTCTGAAAAGTGCTGAAAGTGCTGCTATTCATAGTCATTCTAGGAAGTA